AGCTTGCACCTCGCTGACCTTCCCTTTAATACCCCATCCCAGCTCCCCTCCATGACAGCGTGTCCTCTCACATCACCCCATGGCTAGCAGCCAGCAGCAAGGCTTCGGCAGAGGCGCTGGCAGACCCCGCGCGAGGCTGCACCGCTTGAAGCCACAGGATGCACGAGCAGGTCGCGGCAGATGCGTGCTGTGCTGTGGTTCTGCTGGAAACCTAGCGTCACACCCAGCTCGTCTTGAGGAGAGACAGAGAGAGACAGAGCAAATCTCCCCTCACGTGGCAGCAAAAATGGAGTAGCTTGCTAGCTGCTTTCCCGGAGAGAGGGCAAGAGGAGGGGAGCCTGAACCTTAGCAAAGATCCTATGATCAGCATGGGATCCAGTCTCAGCCTTGGGCACGTGCTCCCTGCTGCAAATCCACACCTGTTGGGTTGTCAAGATGTGTCACTCCTGGGGTGCTAGCTGGGCTTTGTCTGCTCACACTGGGCTTCTTTTGACCCCTAGATCAAAACCATAAATAACAGAAGCAAACTGTTCCCTCCACACCACCGTCCATCGACGGCGAGCAAAGGTAGGGCTGGAAACAAGCAGCAGAATGAAATGACTGGTTGGTTCTTGCACAGCGATGGCCAGACCGTGCTGGGTGGATGCAGGGAGGAGGTGAGGCCACGCAAAGCTGTGCCACAGTAGCACTGAGAGCACTTGCGAGGGCATGAGAGCCTTGATGTCCCACGGGGCCAGGGTTCCAGCTCTGCCTCTCCCAAACCATTCTGGACCCACCAGGAGGGAGGGAAGGAGCTGGGATGGGTCTGTTGCAGGGCAACAAATAGCTGGGTATAGACTTGGAGGCCTTTAGAGGAGAGAGGGTATGGGCTCAGCAATGGGAGAAGCAAACCTGTTGAATGTGCCTTTGTCCAACAGCCAGAGAGGTACCTTTACCCTTTGTCCCTGGGGACCGCTCTGGGGTGACTCTGCTCTCCCTCTGCCAGCAGATGAAAGATGGGTCATGCCAAGCAGCAGGGCTTTGAAGCCCCAGTGACTAGGCTCCATCCCACTGGTGGCCTCATGCCCAGCCAGGACCCATGCTGTGATGCTGGGGAGGGAGGCAGGAATGATCAAGGCCGGTATCTGACGCACTTCCTCAGCCCCGTCCTCGCCGGCCTCCAGCACTGGTGGCTGTGCAGGGGACACGAGTCACTAGGGCTGGCTGGTTTCTGCAGCTGCTTCTCTGCTCTGTCCCATCTCCTTGGGTGACGCCACATCGAGATGAGTCTGAGCCTACTCAGCAGGGACGTCAGCAAGATGGCCAAAGCCGGGGGTGATCTCTCCAGCTCTCGTTCCCCACATCCTAACCCACAATGGAGGTATGTGGCCGCTGTCCACGGGCAGCAGCATTCGCCTTCACCCTATTGAAACAAGAGGGGCCCGGCTGGGATGGACTTGGGGGACAGAAATGCAGCCGCCTGCATTTATTTTGCCTAACAACAGTGATCTCTCTGTATATTTTCACTCTGTTTTCCTAGGCTCAGCTGCCTCCTCAATGAAATGTTTCCAAAGCAGCCTGGCTTGGCGGCACGCCAGCCCCGGCTGCCAGATGAATGGGCGGAGGAGGAGGGACCCATTCCTCTTCTTGACACAGCATCGCTGCACAAGAGGCCTCTGTTGACATTAGGACTGGCTGTTCCTCCTCTCCTGAGAGGCTCTGCCCGGCCCTCGGCAGGAGCAGCACACAGGGCCAAGGCAGCAGGCTGCATGTGATCTGGGACCCGGGCCTGTCCTCCTCCGGGGTGGTGCCACAGCCATGGGCACCTGGGTACCACCACCCAGCACCGCCAGGACCTGATGTCAGCCCCAGTTTCTCCTCCTCTGTCCCCGTGACAGCTAAGCACTCCTTGGGGCTCTCTGACTCCTACGAATAGCACCTCTCTCCAAGACGTCAGTGATTGAAGAGCCTGTTAACTCCCCTAGAACACCTCTCCCCCCCTCTACTCGCACCAAAGCACTCCCTCAGCACCGCAGGAGTGCAGACACCAACACAGGTTTTGCAAAGCTCCAGGTCTCCCTCACCTTTCACGGGAAACAATGCCACAGGGGGGCCCAAGCACACCACCCCCAAACCCTTTAGGGTTTTGGACAATAATATATGGAGAAGAGGAGGCTCCGGGGAGACCTCATTGCAGCCTTCCAGTATCTGAAGGGGGTCTACAAGGGTGCTGGGAGAGGACTTTTTACAAGAGCCTGTAGTGATAGGACAAGGGGTAACGGGTACAAATTGAAAACAAGGAGGTTTAGATTAGATATCACGAAGAAATTCTTCACGGAGAGGGTGATGAGGCACTGGAACAGGTTGCCCAGAGAAGCTGTGGCTGCCCCATCCCTGGATGTCTTCAAGGCCAGACTGGATGTGGCTTTGAGCAACCTGGTCTAGTGCAAGGTGTCCCTGCCCATGGCAGAGGGGTTGGAACTAGATGATCTTTAAGGCCCCTTCCAACCCAAACCATTCTATGATTCTATGGAGCAGCATCAGCTTCACCCTAAACCCTGGTCACTACTCAGACATGCAGGACTTCACCCAAACAGTGCCA